CCGTCTAACAGTCTCAATTTTTAGGTAGCGCGTGAGGCAGGATCTACTTAGCCTCGGCTTCTTTCTCACTGGAAGCCGTCTCAATCCGCTACCCTTGCCCATGCGCACTCTGCTTCCCCCGCCCAGCCTTCAGAACTACCCCTCCCTTTCTCCAGCGACTAGAGTGCCAAGAGCATGCGCGAGCCTGTCCCAGCATCCCGCCCAACTGTCTAACAGTCTCAACTCGAGGTGAGGGCGCGAGCTCGCCAAACTCTCCAATCTCCGCTCTTTTCTTACTCGGTGGCTGGGCTTAATCCTCTACCCTTGCACATGCGCAATCTGCTTCCCCGGTACAGCTTGCCGAACCCTTCTTCCCCTTCCCCAGAGCCTACTGCGCATTCGCAGGGCTCCCGACTGCGTTCTCCCAGCGTCCTTCGCGGGTTGCGCAGGAACCGTGCTAGAAGCGAACGGCGGACCGGCTGCAACATGGCTGCGTCTGCTGCCGCTTCCCTTCAGGTGGTGGAGATGGAGGGGGTGGAAGCAGCCGTCTCCGGGCCCGTGGGGCTGGGAGTGGAAGGCATGGGCATTAGCGGTAACGTGGGCGCGGAGGCCGGGCTCGCGGCCGGGCTCGGAGCCGGGCTCGGGGCCGGCCTAGGGGCCGGCCTGGCCTCCATGGCGGAGGTGGTCGGCGGGGAGCCAGGCCCGGAGTCGGAGGACTTCGAGTGCAGCACGCACTGCTCGGAGCTGTCGTGGCGGCAGAACGAGCAGCGGCGTCAGGGCCTCTTCTGCGACATCACGCTGTGCTTCGGCGGCGCGGGCGGCCGCGAGTTCCGCGCCCACCGCTCGGTGTTGGCCGCCGCCACCGAGTACTTCACACCCCTGCTCTCGGGCCAGTTCTCCGAGTCCCGCTCCGGCCGTGTGGAGATGCGTAAGTGGAGCTCGGAGCCCGGGCCCGAGCCCGACACGGTCGAGGCCGTCATCGAGTACATGTACACCGGCCGCATCCGCGTCAGCACGGGTAGCGTCCACGAGGTTCTGGAGCTGGCCGACAGGTGAGGGGGAGATGCCGGGCGAGGAGGGGGCGAGGATGCCGGTGCAGGAGAGGGAGAAAGAGAAAGGGAGAGAGAAGGAGCCAGGGGGTGGGGTGGGGAAGGAGGGAGGGAAGATTGGAGAAAAGGCCTTAGGGATGGGAACTGTTAGGGATAGGAAGCGCATCTGTTTTTTCTTTAGTCTAAGGAAACTCCTGTTGCCTATCAGCCTCTTCTCTGCAGTTTATAGTCCTAGAGTTGCTTAGAGCACTGAAGCTTAAATGGCTTATTCTTCATCATCTAGCCAGTCTGTGTCGGAGGTCGGATTTGAACCCAGACCTCCCTGACCCCAAAGCGGGCCCATGCTGTTTAGTGTACCGAGCTGACTCTTAGGCACATGGAATACAAAGATAAAAAGTGAAACAGCCCCTATTCTCAAACTCATATTCTACTGGGTTAACCTTTAGAAGGAGGTGTTGCTCAGGCGTACCTGGATCTTCTCCTTCAGGCATCCTTTACCCCTACAATTTTCTGTTGAAAATTTTCTTTTTCTTCAAAGGATTAGTTTCTGATTTTGTCTTCTCCAAAAAGCCTCTTCTGATCTTTCTGGGTGAATGGTTTTTAACCATATAACCATTTTTGTTAAGACCAGGTAATACCAGGTAGACCCCTTTGGTGATCTGGTAAAAACTGGTAAAAAGAATGTTTTTAAAAAATTGAAGTGCTGAGAGGTTAGTAAAAATGAAGTTGTAATTTTTTTCATTGACCTTTTTTTCCCCCTCATGGACTCCAGGATAAAAATTCCTTACCTTAGATGAACATTGAACCTTTTTCCTCTTTAGATTTGTGGAAATACCTTATATATTTGTCTAGTACTATGGTATGCAAAGAGTTTTCCATACCTTTTGCCATTTGATCCCCAAAACAAGTCTGTGAATTAGATACTAGAAAATTCTTAGTGCCAGTAGCTTAAAACTGGCATTAAGACTTTTGGGACACATGTCTGTATGGTTTTTTTTTTTTTTTATCGTTTGTTTTTGGGGGAGGGGACTGGGGTTTCCTTTACAGGATGGCACTGCAGTGGCCACTAATGGGCTGATCTCACTACTAATAGACATGAAACTATTCCATTTTTCACTGTGTGCCACTTTCCCCCCTCTATAGGCAGCCTGGTAGCCATGTGATTCTGAGTGCTCACCATTTTGGTGCCAGACTTGCTGCCATAATGCAGCTCAGAACTTAACCCACGGGATCCTCTAGCCCTAGCAGGAGAGTGACTAAAGGTGTACTCCACTTCACCCAGCCTCATTTTAAAATTTAATAAACTGTTGTTCAGGGGCTAGATGATTTATTCATTATCCTCCAACTAATGCAGGAGCCAGCATTGAAACCCAGAGTTCTCTTGACCAAGGATCCATTTCTCCATTGCCATAGACCCCACACAAAAGCACTTTGTCTGGACCTCTCTTGTGCACTTACTACATTCTACCTTGTATCATTGTTGTATACATACCTCATATAAGATTTCAGGCTCTTGAGGGCAGCTAGGTGGAGCACTGGACCTGGAGTCAGGAAGACCTGAGTTCAGTTATGATCTCAGACCAGACAGTTAACACTTACTAGCTGTGTGACCCTGGGCAAGTCACTTAACCCCAATTGCCTAAAAGAAAAAGAAGATTTCAAGCTCCTGGAGGACAGGATTTGTACCTTCCATCTTTGTATCCCCAGGTTCTAGTACAGTATCTTTATTTGGAAGGTTTTTAGAGTTTGAATTGCAGTGTTTCCTCTAATCTCATAGCATCTTATTTCTTTTACGTATAATCTTTTCATTTCCCATATTAAGATATGTTTACACTTGCTTTTCCATTTATTGCATTCTTCCAGAGCTGTATTCACACTGAAATGTTTCTCTATTATCTTGTTTCATTTTGAGGTGAGAGTAGGGACTTATAAGAGGTATGGAACAATATTCAGTTTAGTAAATGTTGAGTGTCTACCTTTTTCAAGTTTGAGGATGAAAGCAAAAGCGTTAGGGGCAAGAATTGGGCTAGCTTAAAACCAAATTAGCTTGGAATAGAAACAAACCATATCCTAAAGATTAACATATTGACTTGAATCATTCGTTTTGTCTCTGCTTGACTTTAGGTTCTTACTGATTCGTTTAAAAGAATTTTGTGGAGAATTTCTCAAGAAAAAACTGAATCTCTCAAATTGTGTGGCTATCCATAGTTTAGCCCACATGTACACCCTGAGCCAACTTGCTCTGAAAGCTGCAGATATGATAAGGAGGAATTTCTATAAAGTGATCCAGGATGAAGAATTCTACACTTTACCTTTTCATCTCATTCGAGACTGGCTTTCAGACTTAGAAATTACAGTTGACTCAGAAGAGGTTCTCTTTGAAACCGTTTTGAAGTGGGTTCAGAGAAATGCTGAAGAGAGGGAACGATACTTTGAGGAACTTTTTAAATTGCTTAGATTATCACAGATGAAGCCTACTTATCTTACACGAAATGTCAAGTCAGAAAGGCTGGTATCCATTAATGAAGTTTGTGTCAGATTAGTTTCTGAAGCTGTGGAAAGCCATGCTCTAAGAGCTGAGAATTTACAGTCTGGTAATTTGCAGCATTCAGTGTCCCCTGTTGGGTTACTGCCACGATATGGGCAAAACATGGATGTGATTATGGTCATTGGTGGTGTGTCAGAAGGAGGGGACTACTTGAGTGAATGTGTGGGATATTTTATTGATGAAGACAGGTGGGTAAACCTGCCACATATCCATAATCACCTGGATGGACATGCTGTTGCAGTGACAGAATCTTACATATATGTTGCTGGGTCAATGGAACCTGGATTTGCCAAAACTGTGGAAAGGTATAATCCAAATAGAAACATGTGGGAGCAAGTTTGTAATTTAATGACAAGAAAACATTCTTTTGGCCTCACAGAAGTAAAGGGAAAACTGTATAGTATTGGAGGACATGGCAACTTTAGTCCTGGTTTTAAAGATGTAACTGTATATAATCCTGAACAAGATAAATGGCACAACTTGGAGTCAGCACCAAAGATTCTTCGTGATGTCAAAGCAGTTACCATAGAAGAAAGATTTGTGTACATTGCTGCCCGTACTCCTGTGGACAGTGACAGTGAAGATGGATTAAGGGCAATCATAACCCGCTATGACACAGAGACTCGGCAGTGGCAAGATGTGGACTCCTTGCCACTTATTGACAATTACTGCTTTTTCCAGATGTCTGTAGCCAGTACAAACTTTTACCACACAGCCTCATGCTGTCCAAAGAGTTATCCTCTGGATAACGAAGAGGCAAAGAGAAAAATTTCTGGCCGAGTATCTGATGAGATCCTTGAAAGCTTACCTCCAGAAGTCCTTAGCATAGAAGGGGCAGCAATTTGCTATTACAAAGACGATGTGTTCATCATTGGGGGTTGGAAAAACAGTGATGATATTGACAAGCAATATCGAAAGGAAGCCTATCGTTACTGTGCTGAGAGGAAGCGGTGGATGCTCCTTCCTCCCATGCCACAACCTCGTTGTAGGGCAACTGCTTGCCATGTGAGAATCCCCTACAGGTGCTTGCATGGTAGCCAGAGATACCCCATGCCCCAAAATTTAATGTGGCAGAAGGACAGAATACGACAGATGCAAGAAATACATCGACATGCACTAAGTTTGCGGAGGATGCCACGCTCTCAGATTGAATGCTAGGTCTTGGTTCCTATCTACAGTAACACCTGTTTGAATGAGGCTAAACACATACAGTCTTAACATATTACTTGAAAAAAGTAGTATGCTGGCAACTCAGATTTGTACCTGAATTGGTAGATTGTTTTATCCCATATAAAAGAGCTGTGCTTGTAAATACTGAAGGATGGGAAACAAACACAATAGAGGGGTAATGTGAG